CGAAGGAGATTGCCTCGGAAACAGCGTCAGCATGAATGTTCGAGTAAAGCCAATCGACAGCTGGTCAAGATGCATCCGCCGTCGTCTTCAGGTGGAACCGACCTTCGAATCTCTTCACGCAACACTTTCACTCGAAATGGAATAAACTCCACAACTAAACATTATTTTTGAAGTGGGCTGACCTGGTTGTCGCAACTTGGTCTTGTTGTCAGGGCGACTTAGTAGAAATCACTTAATCCGAAGTCGTGTACCATATTAGTTGTCATAGTTCCCAGTATCAGATAGTGAACTTGGTACATTCTCAGACATTTCGCCGGCATCGTAGACGACATGATCAGTGAGTCTTGCCATTCTCCGCACCGAACTACGAACTCGTCGTCTTTTGGTTGAACCGATCTTCGAATCTCTTCACGCAACACTTTCACTCGAAATGGAAGTAAGCTCAACAATTATGAAAGAAGAGATTTCTCAAAACCCAACTTTTCTTCGCATATACTGCAGTTTTGACCTTCCCTACATCTTATCACCATCCTCAGCGGGACTCGAACCATGACATTTAAACCACTACGCCACATTGTCATGAATCTCTTCACGCAACACTTGCACTCGAAATGGAAATAAGCTCAACAATTATGAAAGAAGAGATTCCTCGAAAGCCAATTTTCTTCGTATACATCATGTCGGCCAGTCCGGCCAGCGGAGGTCTGTCGCCAGTCAAGGCCGACGCGGCCGATCCAGACAGGAGGTGGGTCCGAGTCCCGCCTCGGAGGAGCGCCCCATTCCCCTCCCACGACGCCAGACCGGCTGGTTTGCAGACTTTTGTCAAGATCCTGCTTGACGTTGAACGACCGGAGCTCTGTTTGTCCGGCCGCGATGAGATCGGCCACTCTCCTTTGGCCCAGTTACTCTTTCTCTCTCTCCCTCTTGCCTTGTGGCCAGCCGCTGTTGCGTTGGTCTCTATACAAGACGAAATGACCTGCCCTCGTGGTGTTTGTGTGCATTCCGATTGACAGTCGTTGTGGCGCTGCACAAAGCTTATGCCCGAGGCGGTCTGGCCTCTTTTGCTTCGGCTCCTCGTGTCGGACGACCTCTTCTCGCTCCACTCGGCGCGGCGCGGCGCATCCCTTTTGCCCAAAAGCCATCTCTCCC